TAGAGAGTAGGCATTCAAGAAGTTGTAGATTTATTTCCTTCCCATTATTATTCCAATAATCTAGTGTGACAGCAAATATCAAAATTCTTCTTTAATAAAAGTGTCTCCTAATTTTTCTCCAATCAAAACCACAGATTCTTATTTTAGAAGAGTCATGTCTATTGGTTGACCCCCAGAGAATTCTGAATTATGTTACTGTGCAGTATTAGGTCATGATAAGGAACTATAGGACAGTGGTTATGAGTGTTGATGAACCAGTGTTAAGTATGCCTGGATTGAATTCATTCATGTATTCAACACATATTTATAGAGGGCTGATCATGTGCTAGACACTGTACCAGGTGTGGGATGCAGCAGAAATCAAATCTTGTCCTCATGAAGTTGGCATTCTGCTGACAGAAGACATTCAAGCAATAAATATATACAATTTATACTGAATTTACATCATATGAAGTGAGAATGAGGGTGATCTGGAAAAATGGAAAAGGGAAAGAGGCAAGTGCATGCTGTGGGAGAGACTGAAGTTCTGTTTTGAAATTCATAAGCTGCGTGGCCATAGGCAGGATGACCTTCATGACTCCATGATTTGTAAAACGCAGTGCAAAATGAAAGTGTAGCACCCACCGTTCAAAATTTTGAGTTGATGACTGCAGAAAATTGAACCAAACACAAGTCATTCTAAGTAAATGCAGGACCTGTGCAGCCCCACAGAGCAGACAGCTGTGAAGCTGATCCTGAACTTGAGCAAGTTGTTTGCTTTTCCTCAGCCTCCGTTTTTAATTGGGAAAGGACTTGAAAATACTGAAACATTTGATGAGAGAAAATGAATCTGAAGCTTTTTCCTCTAGGTACAGTGTTAGATAGTACAAAGGGCATTTTTACCTCCAACACATCTTTCATGAAGAGTTTTTTTAATCTCGGTTTCATGGAGCCCTGCTGTAGATAGGTTTGCCCAAGTTCTAACAAGATTCTGGAATCTCATATGTGGGTATGTTCATGTTGGGATGTGTGTGTGTGTGTGGATGTGTGTATATGTGGGGTGTGTGGGTGTCTGTGCTTTTTCCTCTGGAAAGCACCATAGTCTCTGTCACATTTTTAAAAAGGTGCCCAACCCTTTAAACAGCTAGGAACCATTTATTTTAAATGGAATCAGAAATGTCACTATAGAAAAGCAATAATATTAATTTCTACTATGTGTATCTCTTACCGTTTATTCCATGTTCACAATTCATCTCATTTTCATTCAAGACAACCAGCTGGGCTAGTTAGAGCCGAGGTTTGAGGCCAGTTTTTCTCACTGACTCTAAAACTCCTCACCATTGGAGGGCATTGCTGTTTACCCTTTCAGTTTCAGCTGTACTATCAAAAGCAGCAAATCAAGGGCAGGGACCACAGCTTGACCTTAAACTATTCAACTGCACTTAATTACCCATTGTGGTGGCGGCACATAAATACAGGATGTCCCCTCACTCTGCCATTCTGCTTTGCATCATTATCAAAAAGACAAAGGTAATTCATGTCTAATTACTCACTCACTGCAAGGTCAGATATTTATTTTTATCATACTAGTGATTTTTAGGATTAGTGGTATCAGTATTTATTCATGGCTAACCTAAATCAAACATCCTGTTGATATCTATAAAGAGCCATATAGTTATTGTCGCAGGTATGCTGAGTCACAAAGCAAATATGAAGTTTATGAGTTGACAGGGAAAAGGCTGCAGGGAGGTAGAGATAAGTGTGCCTAGGTAATCACAAGTGTCTTGAGCAATATACACACTGTTTATTTATACTGTCCATTTATCAAGTTCAATAGGGGCTTGGGAAACTAAAAATAACCAAAATAGGAAGAATTTAAAAAAATTATTAGTATTAATTTCTAAATTTGCTGCTGATGGTGACTTTTGGGTTCAATTTATTCAGTATTTTAGAAATGATTCTCTGTTTCTAGTGGGATAGAGCTTTGACCGGCTTGAGAAACATAAAAGGAGAAGTAGAAGAGAAGGAAAATAAATGAGGCTCATGTGACTGGGATTAATTTACTTAGAGATCTGGAGTAGCAACAACTAGTGTCTTTCCAACGCCCCACCCCCCACCGCAGTCAATTAATGGGATCAATTTAAAGTGGCAGCATTGAAAGGGAAAACCCAAACACTTGGATGTAGCAGTATGCAATTGACCCATTCCTTTTGCCATTCAGATTCACTCAGTCAAATATATTTCATTGATTTTAGCTACTGTCATTATAACTGTGTTAGCTAATTGTCTGAAGTTTTCATTCATTCTCTGTCTTTGCAGATGCCACTGTTTTCCAATCTGAATTTCCTTGCTCTGTCTAGCTCTCCCTCTGCACTAACAGGATATACACATGTGTGTACACATTTTCTTTTCTTAAGCCAGCCCATTGTTCCTCTTGATGTCCTTGGACACATCAGCAGTCTGAAAATCAGGCTTCTGATAGAGTCTTACTAGAAGTAACTAGCTGTGAAACTTGGGCAAGTACTTTACCCCTCACTTCACTACCTATGAAAAGAAGATGTGAAAACAACTGGTTTTGTGGGTTCTCTCCTACTTATTCACTCTATATTTCTATCTAGTTTCCATGGAGTACAAGGTCATTAATAATGTGTCCCATGACTCTCCTTAGATTAATCAGACAAGCCAAAATTGGGGAGATGTTTGTCAAAGTCTTACAGTCGTGTTGAAAATAAAAATACGAAATGAATATGACTTCTTGATGTGATACAGTCTTCAAAAAACTAAATTTGGTGTTTGACATATATTAGATTTTAAGAACATAAAGTTTTCATTTTGGTAGATAAAAAATGTTGAATAAAGGCAATTTCATAAGGTTCATAGTCTGTAGAGTGAGATAGAAGCAGAAAAACCTGACTTTGCTCTGTTCTGCTCTACTTAGTTCATACTTTAATAAATAATTCAGTTCTTCATACCATACAAAAGGGAGGGTAGTGGACAAAAAGAGACACACATATTCAGTAGATAACAACCAAGCTGAGAGGGGACTTTAAGGCATATCTGGTTAATGGGGGAAAAATAAAGAGGCTCATTAACTTGCAGGTGTTAGCAGTCTTTTAGTGTTTAAAAGATAGGTGTAAAAGACAAAATATTTCTGTATATATATATATATGTACATATATTTAATGCAATATATGACTAAGTAGTTCATGCAAGTGACAGTAGTGATAGTGGCTAAGAAGTTCGGAAAAGATTTAGATCCGTGTAAGGGGGAGCTCTTTAAATGGAGCTGTCCAAAGTTTGCATGCGCTGTGTCAGCTGGTTGCAGTGTGCCATTGCCAGGGTTGTTGAAGTTCAAGCTGACAGACAACTCGGAGCAGCAAAAGGTGGTAGGTCTAGGACACTGGCTGTCTACCTGGGGTGAGTTTGTCTCCCAGGGGACATTTGATAATGTCTGCAAATATGTTTGATTGTCACAATTTTGGGGGTAGGTGGGAGGGTGCTATAGGCATCTAATGATTAGAAGTCTGATATGTTTCTAAATATCCAACAACACACAGAACAGCACCCTCAATACAAGCAATTACCCAACCCAAAATGTGCCAAGGTTGAGAAATCCTAGTCTAAACAGTTTGATACAGATGTTTAATTCATAACATCCCTGTAGCTGGGGAGAGAAAACGGAAATTGATCTATTAGAACAATGGTTATGTAGGCAATTGTTTATAATGGCATTTAAAAAAGAATGTTAATGACATGCAGACATGTAAATTTTAAAACATATAACATTAAACATAAAAAGAATACATCTCTATGTCATAAACATATCAAAATATTGAGTGGTTATTTTTGATCAATGAGATTATTCATGCTTTTGTTTTGCTTTATTCTCTATTTTCCAAGTAGCTATAATGTACCAGTCCTGCTTTTAAATTCAGAAGAAAAAAAAAAGATTCTAAGTTGAATTTTTAAAACCTGATACATCCCTGAGGACTGAATGGCACATGGTAATAAGAATAACCATAATAGTAACTTCAATTTAGCTGGCAGCATATGGAGAGACAGGCCCACTCATTCACTCTTCGTCAGAAAGTAAATTGTTATAACCCCTTTGGAAGACAACTTGGCAATATGACTGCAGAGCCTCAAAAATATTCATAGCCTATGACCCAGTCATTCCAATTTTGGGAAGCTAGTCTAAGGAAATAATCAAAAAATAGGCACAAAGATGTTCATTTAAGCATGATTTATAATAGTCAAAAATTGGATTTTTAATTGCTACAAATTGAAAACAGCCTTAATTACTAGAAATAGGTGAATGTTTAAATTATAATAAATCCATATGATGTAACACATAGCCACTGAAAACAATATTTACAATTACTGATGATATGGGAGGAAACTTAACATGCACAATTAACTTTAAAAAATAAGGGTCCAAACTACATGAAAAGGGTAACCCCAAAATTTAAGAAAGAAACATGGTGTTTGAAAATATGTGAGTTAAAGTATTAACAGAAAGTAAAGATCTTTAGGATACGAGATATGAGTGGTTTTTTTTACTTTTTTTCCTTCTTTATATTTTATAATCTTTTCTAGTTGTATAAAATAAAAAACAATTTTCTTTTTTTTAATTTATTTATTGTACTTTAGGTTCTGGGGCACAAACATAAATTTTAGAACCAGACAAAAACTTTAATATTTGTCAAATGCCAAATTTAAGTCCAAAGCCATTGTCCATTTTAAGAAAATCATCTGAGTTAATGTCACAACTGCTTTTCAAGAGAGCATCAGGCCCATTTCACAGAAGAGAAAATCTGGCCTGATATTCCTAATTTTCCATGTTTTATCTTAGATATTGTTTCCTCCAGGAGGCTCTCCTTGACCTTCCGATTCTGGTTAAATTACTCTTTCAGTTTCCATTATTTTACTGATTTTTTAATGTATATATAGGTTGTCTCTAGCAAGTGTATGACACAAAATCTCCATGAATTGAATGAATGAATAAAGAGTGAATAACTTACCCAACCTGGTGAGTGGCAGGGCCGGCCAGGTCAGTGCAACTTCAAAGTTGATGTTGTCACTGAATGTTCCAGATGGATTGCAGAGAAGACCAAAGTTCATGTCTCAGCACCTTTCCCAATGTACAGGACTTATTGTTGGAACAGAGTAGTACCTGGCCTAGAAGTTAAACATTCATCCAGCTAGCTATTAAGGCTTGAATGCCTTCAAAGAACAGCATGGATTTTTCTCTGTGAATCGTGAGCGTTTTTGCAATGCTTAACACGGCAGCTGGTAATGATTATTGCTTCTGTTTCTCTTTGAATTTCATGTTCGTTTACTTAACAGGGCATTGCTAATCTAGAAGAAGGGAGTGGGTGAAGAATCCCATTTGTAAAGAGGATAACAGGTTAATGAAAAGAAGCAGAGGTATGTGTAGGTGATAGGGTTTCTACAAGGCTCAGTTCAATTGGTATGATTTAAAAGCAAGCCTTGGCTGGCTGATCATAATAAGGGCCACATTATGGAGGGGATTTACGTGGCAATTACCATGGTCCTTGCTAGTGGAATACAATGTTTTAGGGCTCCCTGGATACTTAAGATTAATGTCTAAATCAGTAGTGTTATTGTTGCAAGATCTTAGTGTGATGGGAGCCATTTGAGGCAAGAATTTTTATCCCTTATCAGAACGTAAAATATCTCACAGTCTGCCAGAACTTCAATGACTATGGCTTGAAGTTGCCCTAAAATAGTTTAAGCGTCCTGCTGATTTTTTTTTTCCTTGTCCTTGGCAACTAGAATGGATTAATCAGCCTAGAGCTATTTTTGCTCATTCAGGTAATATGATTGAAATGGGAATCATACATGTTCAATCATTTAGGGAAGTGGGACTAAAAATCCTAGACCTATAACAAATTAAATGATTATAGAGAATCTGTCATGTAAATGACGTCAGTGAAGGACTTCTTCATGTACCCTGGGCCAGATCCACAGTATTTGGTGTAAACTCACCATGGTTTCTCCCTTAGTGTGTTTATTAAGAATGATGTTCCTAAACCTCAAGAAGCCTTGGGGAATTTTTGGATTCCAGCCAGGTACCTGGCCAAGATTAATTTGGTCCATCAGCAATTCTCAGGAACCACATCATGAGTACTAAGAAAACAAATAGATTTCTCTAGTAGTATGTTTCTCCAACCTAGATATCTGCACAAAAAAAGTGCAGTGGACATGGCGCAAATTCCAGGAAGTTCTCCTAGGAAGTGGTCAAAATATGTAATGATTATTTATTACTCAATTTGAGACCCAAATTATCCAGTCAATGGGATGAGTACCTTACTCCTCTTCCCCAGAAGCCTCACAAATAGTCTTAACACCATCTCAACAAAAATAAGATGATGGAGCTAGATATGAAGAACATGGCTACCTCATGGATTCCAAGCAATCAGGTAGAACATTGAGAATTGCTATTGATACAAGAAGGTCCTGCTAAAGGTGTTGGTGAGCTTGGGATGCCAGTGCAGAGTGATGTAATATTTGGCCAAGAACACCTAAGTATCTGAATCCTGCTCTTGTCCATAATGACATCTTACCATTAAATCATTGAGGACAAATAAAAATAATATATATTATCTGAATTGTTTGCTAAAAGCCCAAGTAGAACTCAGTAAGAGACAGGACTACATGGAAGATTCCTTTTTCCTAGACAGGGTATTGCCAACTTGCCTCAAATTAAAGCAGGGCAGAGCCATAAAACTATTATATTTCCCTTGGATTTTGAGCCTGTACAATTTGAAAGCAATATCCAAATCTACAACAAAAAGTCTCATTAAATCCTTGTGGATCTAATTCTAATTGGCTGCTATCCAGTTAGCACCCTCAAACCTGAATGCTCAGACAAGCCGTTCTCCCCATCTTGGTGGAGGGCCAGGGGGAGTAAATTAAAGAAACAAAAGAACAAAAAAGGGACTCTGAGCTTCTGCTAGAAGCCAGTATCACAAATCTAGAATGACAAGCCGAAGCCAAGGTATAGTTGGCCTGGGGCAGCCAGTATTGGTCATTTTCTCATTCATTCATTCATTCATTCATTTATTCATCACGTAGACATTTGCAGGGTACCAGCCATGCTGTCAGGCACCATGTTTAATGAATTAGCAGATGGTCTTAGCAGATGAAAAGACTGAAACCCCACTGGGAAGGATACAAAAATTATTACACTGCTATCAGAGCAAGGGGGAGGTTAGTAAAAGCTGGTGGACCTTAAAGTTTTTTTACTTTTGCAAATGTAGGAACTGAGGGTCAAGATAGAGTTTGGGATAAGGGACGAGGCCATAGCTAAAGAACAAGTCTAGTGTCTATAGAGAAGTGATACTTGGAATTTTCCAAGTGCAAACACACACACACATGCACACACCCCACTCCTCACCTTGACCAGTTTCATAGGGAAACGTGAAGAAATAGGCATATGGATTTCAGGAGTGGGCAGTGTTTTGTCTGAATCTCACATTTGCTTGCTAGTAATGTGATGTGTGACTTTAGGCAACTTGTTTATCTTTTCTGGGAAAATACATACCTCTAGGTATGGTGGAGGGTGTGCCTGATATAAAGCCTGGTGTACAGATGCCATTTAATAAATGATGGTTTCTTCCTCCTGCATCTGGTTTGGGAGTAGATCTAGTCTATTGTTTATTTTTGGAGTAGGCATGGTAGAGTAAAAGGAACAAAGGGATAGAGGGAGGAAGGGAAGAAAAAGAAAAAGCCACCCTAAGGCGGATGCAGTGGCACACACCTGTAATCCCATCACTTTGGGAAGCTAAGGCAAGTGGATCATGAGGCCAAGAGTTCAAGACTAGCCTGGACAATATGGCAAGAATGCATCTGTCCTAAAAATACAAAAAAAAAAAAAAAATTAGCCAGGCATGGTGGCACACACCTATAGTCCCATGTATAGCCACTTGGGAGGCTGAGGCAGCAGAATTGCTTGAACCTGGGAAGCAGAGGTTGCAGTGAGCTGAGATTGTGCCACTGCACCACTGCACTCTAGCCTGGGAAACAGAGCAAGACTCCATCTCAAAAAAAAAAAAAAAAAAAAGGAACCTTAAGACAAGCAAGAAAAGAAGCTAACTTTACAGATAAATTTATCCACACTTCTCAACATCAGGACAGGTCCTTCATGCTTAGATTCCAGGCCTCTTCTTGTGAATGGGAACAGTCAACACTTATCCAATGATGCATTTAAAAGCATCAAGTTAAAAGAAAATGCAGATGTCAGAAAAAAAGCATCATTTACCATCAAGCACCCTTATTAAACACTAGCTTGTTGGCATATCTGTAAGTCTGGTTGTCATTTTGCTAGGTGGAGAGGACAGAAAAGTATTTAGGCCACACCCATGTTTCAGAATAGTAATCACAAAAGCCACAATGTATTGATCACTCAGACTCATCATATGTTTGTCCTTTTGTTTCAAATATCCCAAGGATAGAGGTATTTCTAGCCTAATTTTCTAGGTAAGAAAATCAAGGCTACAGAACGTTCGTGTGTTGTTACTTTATCCTTGGTACCCCCACTAGGAAGTAGGTATAATTAGCCTCATCTTAGAGATATGAAAACTGAAGTTCTGAGAGGAATATCCTGTAACCAGAAGGAGTCAGTGTTAGGATCTAAGCCCATCTGATGAAAAGCAATGCTCTTAATTATACGATTTCCCTGCCTTGCAAAGACACATGTCGGTCACAGGATGCTTGCCATTTTGCTCACTGGTACTACAACTTAGTAACAGCCTTTGGCCAAAAATGAGACTGACCATTGACTTTCATGGATGGAAGTCCACATTCCTAACATGGCTTCATTCAGAAGCACCCAGATTTCACAAGAGGAAATGATTAGGCATTTTTCTGAGGTGTTGAAATTGTTCCCATTGTCAGTCACAGACAAAGCAAAAAAAAAAAATATATGCTTTGAAAATTCCTCAAAGGTAAAAGGTAGACTTTCTTCTCCCATAATTCTGATATAGTCCCTAAAAGAAACAAAAGCTTGCATAATTCTAGTCCCAGTGATTCTTCTTTCCTTCTTATTAACTACAAATCTTCACCATATTTTTTCTTACTAATTAGTTAAATGCTTAAGCTCCTGAGTCACTGAGCTGTCTACCGGTTATAGCTTGTTCTAGCTCTTCCACCCTCAAATGGAACTTGCAAGGAATTAGGGCCTCTGAAGATCCCACATTCGAGTCGTGAAAACAAGCCAAAAATGAAATCAATCACTGCCGAGAGGGGTGGACAAACATAAGCATTAAGACCCACTACTGCTGTGTCAGGGCATTCAGATATGCTGCCAGTGGGAAGAGGAGAGAAAAAGTATGTGTATTCATTTATAAATGTATGAGTTCTTGCCTCCAAAGGTCCTGATTTTACTCTGGTCCAGTCGGGTTCTCTTGTCCTTTGTTGCATTCACAAATTCAGTTGTATTTAATCTACTCCTTGAGAATGCAGTTGAGCTTGTCCCCAGCAGTGATGGGGCCAAACATGAAGCCACTTACCTTTCCCTGGGTGGCTAATGGAGGCTCTAAGAAGAAAGCGATTGGTCACAGCCATAGGGTCTGAGAGAATCAAGCATGCACTTCTGGAGGCATGACCTGACTTTAGCCAAAAGCATGCACAGAATGTGGAACTTGGCCTCCTGTAGAAAAAGCATGTCTTCACCTTAGATTATTCCTTTCTTGATGCTCACTATGATGGCAAGGCTTCTAGAAGGAGAGTCATTAATAACTGTCATGTAAACCATAGGAAAAAATCTAAGTGTAGGATTCTTTAGCTCTATTTATTGATACAAACCCTTTAGTATGAATGTATGGTCCTCTACTGATTGATTGGCCCTAAACACTTTTCCAAAACTTACCTCCACATAACCCATCAGCAATGCAGCTGCCAGATTGTTCACTGTTCCCAAGCAGCCATATTCTCTCAGGCTTCTCTAATTCACATTCTCCACCCTTCCCTTGCCACCAGGGATTATCTAAAAGTCATACCTGATTATATCATCTCCACGAACATGCACATAAAAGGACACACACACCTGTCATAAGTCCTGATCTCCCTGTTTGCATGTAGAATGAAGTCCAGAACTCTTAACACAGCATCTAAGACTCTCCTCTATCTGCCTCCAAATTGCCCATCAGCCTCATCTCTACTCTCCCCTCCTTTATCTTTTTCCTTACTGATGTCACAACAAAATTCTCTTTTATTTCTCATCATTTCCAAAGGAGACCAGGCCTAGACTCAGTGCCTTTATGGGTTGCTGCTTTACTACCTGCTGTTGTCCTCTCCTTTCTCTCTGTGAAGCAAACTCTGTCATCCTTCAAGAGCTAGTTCAAATATCCTCCTCTGAGAAGTCCTTTCTGAAGCCCACAGATGGAGTTAGTTATACCCTTTACTCTGAGCACACTAAGGAAAACAGCTTTACTCGTGTGCATATCTCACTGTATTGTAATAGCTTACCTGCCTATCTCACCATTAGACTATGTACTTGTAGAAGGCAGGAATCTTTTTCTAATGATTTCTTATTTCTCAGAATTTAGAACAATGCCTTTTAGAAGGCAGTAATCTTTTTTGAACGATTTCTTATTTCCCAGAACCTAGAACGATGCATATGAGAAAGGGCTGCTTTGTGTATATTTTTAAAATAAATGAGTGC